GAGGATTCTTGCATTTACTTCACATCAAGGAATTGAAAAGTAAGTGACACAAAATTAGGAATTGAATTTCTGATTTTGAAAGAATTTAATTCTTGGGTGGGAGGTGGTATTCTAATTCCTAAAGAACTAACCAATTAGGAATTCATCTTTTTAACCTATTATATCCTCACACAATTTTTTAAATTTCAAATTTGTCATCTACTTTAACCTAACAACAAGGACATTTTAGTAATTAGTACCACTCCTACCCAAATTTCATATAATTTAGTAAACAACTTCAATAGAAATTCGGAATCTAACTCCTCTCAATCCATATGGTTTGGTAAACAACTTCAATAGGAATCCAGAATCTAATTCTCCTCAATCAAACTCCTCCTCAATTCAATTTCTCCTAATCCAATTACGGATTAGTAAACATGCCATTAGTGATTATACTTTCAATAATCTATCTACTAGCCTACATACACGAGCGTGCGGAAGATATTTTTTCCATGGGTGATTTTATTTGAACTCCACAATCTGCTCTTTTGATCCCACATACTTTTTACATCACATAACACTTTAGTGAAATTTAAAATGACTCTTTGCACCCATTATTTCTTCTTAAATTACCCTCACAAACCTAAACCCATCACACACTTCTTTTTTACACCCCATCAATTAACCCCGTCGAAAATCTAGGTATCCCTAAACCCCATCGCAAACCCGTGTCTCCCTAAATCCCATCGCAAACCTAGGTATCCCTAATCCCCATCACAAACAACACTACATTGAAAGGAAACAGCTTATGTGGCACATCACCTCCGAAAATGCCAAGATTCTGCTGCACTTCTACGACGCCACTAATCCCAAGTCAAGAAGAATGACGCCACCAATCCCACGTTGTGAAGAACTCAAGGTTAGCCTTCAATTTTGATTTGTAACTTTATATTTCTCAGTGATATTTCAAAAATTGGACGTGTTTTAGAGTATAGAGATGTATTTCTGGTTGTGATTTGTTGAAAATGGATGTATGGGTTCAAACTTGGTTTTACGAATATAAATGTGTAAACCTTGTTAGGGTTGTAGGAACATGATGGTTTGATAAATAAGTCTGATTAGGGTTGCAAAAACGTATGTAGTGAGCAAATTTAATTTTTATTCAATTTTTTTTTTTGGTCCTTAACGTTATATACAATGGTAAAATAGGTTATTCATGTTTAAAATTAGCGTGTGGTCAAAAGAATAGATTTTGGAGTTTTAAAAAATTTACCCTTTTTCCATAATGCCATTTTTTTTTTTTTTTTTTTTGCAATTGTATTTGTCTAGATGGTCTCTTAAAAGTTTTCCTTTAGAGCAACTCCACCCATTTGCCCCTTGCCATGGCAAGGGGGGGGCTAGGGCAGCCACTATTCACGTGAATAGTGGTTGCCCTTGCAAATAGTATATTTTGTGTTTCCACCCGTTGTCATGGCTAAGGGCAATTACTATTCTTTTTTTTTGTTTTTTTCACAAATTTTTTTACCTCAATAATTAATTTGGATAATATTTTCGGATAAGATTTTTGGGTTCGTACATGTCAAAATTTATTATAAAATTCATATCTCAATCGGATAAAATTTTGGTATTTATAGAAAAAAAATCAGTAATTTTTTTTCATTTTTTTATTGCACAAAAATTGGCTGCTGTTGGATTGGAGAAAAAAAATTTGATCGGAGAGCTCAGAGCACGACACGTGGACTTTAGTGGCACTGTAGCGCTGACGTCGCGCATGACGTCATCCAAACCGAGAGTTGGACCTCGGGCTGAACTGGCCTTCGGGCCAGCCCGACTTGCTGGGACCCGCACCTTGCCCGGGCTTGGGCTCACCGCTGGAAACTCCTTTTTTTGCTTTTCTCCCCCCAGCCTTGGGCTAGGCTCATGGCTGCACTTGCTCTAATGTAATGATTGATTTTCAAGTTTATAAAAAATAAAATAAAAAAAGAGATGGATTCAATTGCCATATAAACCATAGGAGTAGGATTGCTTTTGCTATATTTGAAACTACAAGGATTAAAATGAAATTGAGTCAAAATTATAAGTACCAAAAATATACTGTTGATAGAAACCTTCTTTTTACCCAACAAAATTGAACGAAACCCATCTTTTATTATCTTCTCGCATTTCTAAGGCAACACTGAGTCAGAGAAGGACATAGCTCACTGCCCTGAGGTTCTGATCTCTCTCTTAGCTATTTGTTAATCATTCAGAGCTCTTTCTCTCTATTTGTATGATTCAGCTCTCCCCCCCTGATTTATGTTTCCGTTTCTGAAATTTAATGGAATTGATGATCTGGGTTTTGTTTTCAGAGAGGAATTTGTGATTAGATTTGGGGTTTTGTATAAACTGCGCAATTTAGGTGTTTCTCGGGAATTATTTGGGAAATTTGTGATTAGATTTTGGATTCTGGGTCAGCTTGGCCTTTTTCCTGATCTTGAATGTGTTTTGAATCTGACTTGATCTGCTTGTATGCAAACAAAGTTCTCTTTTTTCTCTATGGATGTAATGTTAGGGTTCTCAGTGCTATAAAATCATTATTCACGCGCTCTATGCGCTATGTAAAATCATTTTATTTGTTATTTTTCCGCAACTGTATAGAAGGGGCCTCATTTAGTTTATTGCCTAGGGCCACACAAAAGTCAGGGCCAGTCCTAGCGAAGCCACAACAAGACTTGCCATGGCCCTAGGCCCCCCTCCCCCAAATTTAATTTTCAATCTCTTGTAATATATTATAAAATATATGATATAGTAATACAATTACTACAATTAAATTCGTGATGGCCCTCCCAGTTGAAAATGAAAAACCTATGTGGAAGTGATTTTGAAATTTTGGCCTCTCCATGCTAGGAATCCTAACTCCGCCACTATTTATCACCCTTATTTATCTAGATGCATGTATCAACAGTTTACCTGCAATAAAAGAAAAAAAAGAAATTGTTGATAAAAGAAAAAAAAAGAATCTTCAGGCTATTGAACAGAATAAACTCCTTTGAGCTTTACAAATCAGATATGCAGGTTGGTCCCTATCTATCTACATTCACAAATACATAGATAATGTAGAACTTAATAAAATGAGCTGCATAAAAAATGCCAAATAAATGGTCCCTCGGTCCAAACATTGATTCACTCCTTGAATCACTAAGTAAAACATCAGGAGACCTCCCATTGATACCTGTTGAAAGCCCAATCTTTCTCCATCCATCTGCCAAGGCATGAAATTATATTAGAAAAATTATTTCACCAAACGGCAGAATTTTGAGAACATTCAAAACTATAATTACGTGAATTATGAGCAAGAAATCCCGTGAATTTCTAAGAGCTCTAACAATGGCTATGAAATTCAACACAGAAACACTGCTATAATTTGCTCACCAGCCTCTATAACAAAGTGTTGGACAGCAGAACACAGCTATCCATTTTGAGCTACATCCAACCACCACCATCTGCAATAACCCAAAAGAAAATTCAAATGAATAATTGTAACCACATCCACATAAATCTATAAGAGTTAATTGAAAAATAAACAAAACAAAACCCAATAAGAAATATTTTTATTTTGTATTGCGAAGGAAGCAAATATCAGCATAAAAAGAAACAAACCTCTAAAACGAGAGTAAGTCCCTCAGCAGTTTTCCTCCACAACATAATTTAAAATAATTAATTACTATTTATTAAGTAATTTATGAAATTAGTAAAATATTTAAATACTAATTATTCAAAGAAATAATAATTAAAATATAATTACTAATTAAAAAAATAAAAAGAAGGCTAAGATATTACTTAAGTATAAAAAAGAAAACCATTTTGTGCAGTACAGCCGTATGGCTATACTTTTAAAATATTAATATATTTTAACAGTAGAGCCGCTCGGCTATACTGTTAAAGTATTTGAATAAAAGTATAGCCGCGCGGCTATACTCTCTAAATATTAATATATTTAAAAGTATAGCCGTACGGCTATCCTTTTAAGAATTCGGGTAAAAAGGAATCAATCTCAGCTCAGCACATCTTTAACTCAAAACTACACTCACATGCTACAATCAGAACTTCGCCAAACACATTCAAAGTAAAACTACACTAAGTAAAACTAAAATTAACAAAGTAAAACTAAAATTAAAAAGAAGAAAGAACTATATAGAATTTTTTTTATCCAACTGATATTGAGAGAGGAGTAAATTAAATCGCGTGCATAATAAATGTTCTTAACCACTTGAGCTACAAGTTCCTTGCTACTTAGAATTTTTTTTAGTTTTCTTCCATATTCTTTTCATCGTTACTAAAAAAATAAATAATAAAAACAAAAGTATTACTAAAAGAACCGAATTCAACATTTTATCGGACGAAAAATTCATACTTAGAAAACCTTTACCTAACATACACTCTTCCAATGAAGAACGCCTCGTTGACAAAGCCTTTGCGACATTTGTCAACTGTCAATGCCAAACATGGCTACCAGCCAACCGCGCAAAAGAGAAGGGAATTTTCTATGGGATTGCCGTTGACAAAACTGTTCCTCTTGGTATAATATTAATAATCCCTCATGTTTTAGAGTGACAATGTGTTTCATAATTGAAGGAAGACCAAGTTGTTGCCCATCATGTTGGCATCTTAATTTGTTGCCAACATGAACATGAAGAAATGTGCTGGCCAAGCTAGGTGCAAAGAAAAGATCTCGAGTATATCCCGCGCATACAACGCTCCTCTCACATATCACACAACCAAGACAAAGCTATAGGTGTGAGAGAGAGATTATAATTTATATAAACACCCCTTGTATGCAAGAATTTTAGCCATATGGTTCATGATGCAGACTGAGGAGGAGGCAGTCCATGTAATGATCATGTGAATGAAGATGTAAAATAGTAAATTGATAAACAGATAAGAACTCAGGAGCAGCGCTAAACATAATCATTTCTTGTGTATTTCTGCACTAAAAGTTACCAAACTAGTATAAAAGCGATAGTGAGGACTGATGACAGCCAATAAACACTAAAAACAGTTCTTCATGTCATTCAGATGCTCAAAACAAACCAAAATGAGAAGGGCAAAAGGAAAAGAGGAATGCACACAGATAACACAGCACTCACGAAAACAACGGTTGTGAACGAAAAGGCAGCTATAATCCCTGGAAATTCTAACAAATTGACAGCCAGTGCTACCTTACCTTAACCTTAAATCCAAACACACATCTATGTCTTTTCACATTTTCTCAGCCATTATGGCCAATCCTAGGCACGGCCTCCTATTTCGAATCCTGTTTTTCATCTTTTTCCTCTGAGATGAAATCTGAGCTATCTTCAGCTGCTGATGTCCCATCATTCCCATCATTATATTCTAGAGCCTGGGAGGTCTTAAATAGTTCATCATTCTCCAATTGAGCTAACTTCTCTTTCGATTCTCCCTTCAGTAGCTCGACCACCTCCAGCATAGTCGGTCTTCTCTCGGGTCGACTATGAGCACATAGCAGAGCCACAAAGATAACTCTTTTCAGCTCATCCTCTGCATACTTTCCGTTGAGCTTGGGATCTGCTAATTCGTCAAACTTCCTCTCACAAGCCAATGGCAGTGCCCAATCAGTGACTGTGCGTTTCATTGTTGAACTCAATTTCTCAATGGGTTTCTTGCCACTGGCAAGTTCTAGCAGGAGAATGCCAAAGCTGTAGACATCACAACTCTCTGAAGCTTTCCCTAACATAGCATATTCGGGTGCAAGGTAGCCAAGGGTACCCTTCACTCTTGTGGTCACATGTGTAGCACCATCAGGGATTAGCTTTGCAAAACCAAAATCGGCAACTTGAGCCTGGAAATCTGAGTCCACTAACACATTGCTAGCTTTGATGTCTCTATGGATTATATGTGGAGTTGCATGGTGGTGAAGATAGCTGGAAAATTAAAGTAAGAGGTTAATATGAGTAACAGTTATAGAGTTAGGAGAAATGTGGGTTCAGTACTTACGCAATTCCCTCAGCAGATCCAATTGCAATATTCATCCGCCGGTTCCAATCAAGAAGGCATTCAGCTGAGTGCTGCCCATGAAGATGAGAAAGTAAGCTCAAATTTGGCATGTAGTCATATACAATTAAACGCTCTTGCCCTTCTGCACAATAGCCACGTAAACTGAGCAGATTCTTGTGCCGAACTCGAGCCAATATCTCAACCTCAACTGCAAATTCCATATCTGCTTTGTTACTCCAGACCTTTAACCTTTTAACTGCAATCTGTATAGATTTCATTGAGAATTAATTTGAATCGAGATATCCTTCAGAATTATAAATAGTCCAAACAGGAGACAACTTTGGGTTTAATTTAGGCCAAAAAAAAAAAAACAGCCTAGATGGAGCACTAAAGGAAATTCCACCGATAACTATCAAGCGAAGAAAAAATTTAAGGAAAGACCAATGCACAACAAGAAGATCAAACATTTCAGAAAATTTTGATAATTTACAGAAGTCTCAGTATCTGGGAAGTAATTACGCATGGCCTTTTGAAGAAGCTACTTTTAGTTATGATTAAAATTTAGAGAAAAACTATACTCATACTTTGGGATCACTATTTAAGAGATTACTCGAACAAAAATATCAACTCCTTCATAAGGCTCACTCAAGATGGTGAAGAAACGTACTCTGACAAACTTATAGTTGATGCTAATCATAATGATATTAAGGACCTCAAGAAAAGTTTGTTTTTGTTAAAAAAAAATTGATGTGCACAATGTTGACCAACACAAATTACATTCTTCCAACCCTGTTTAATAGATTGAAGAATATAAGTACATATAGATATTGGAATCAGTCTTTTAAGCACAGTTGTCTCAACTGGGCTTCTCTAGGAAGCTCCCAACCAGGCAGGGTACGTTTCACTTCCTTTGAGAACCAACCGGCACTACGACTCCCAAGTCTCTTTCACCATCTAATCTTCTTAATATATTTCAATGTTGAAGCAATTCTCACAGCCTTTTGTGCATTAAAAGAATCACTTCCTTTGAGAACCAACCAGCACTACGACTCCCATAGTCTCTTTCACCATCTAATCTTCTTACTATATTCCAATGTTCAATGCAATTCTCACAGCCTTTTGTGCACTAAAAGAATTAGTGTTTTTACAGCTTCTCTAAAATGAAGGAAAAAGAAAAGAAAATTTATTTGGTTCAGATTGTTCATTACATCTTACAAAAGGAAATACGTACCTAAAACCTTTCACAACCGTATCCTTAACGAAATGGCACAAGTAGTTCATGGATAGAGCATACAAGTGTATTTATCATTACAAGAAGAAGAATCTAAATCATCGCATACCTACTGCTGTGTCTGACCACATATTCAATTATATGAAGAAAATAGGTAATAATTATTTATACTACAACCATCCCTTTAAGGATTATGGCAAAGGTCCATAAATATTATTGAATCCACAACTACAAGCTCTAAAACACTGATGTGGTCTCTTCATCAGTCACACCCATTTTAATGCCAGACATTTGATCTACACTAGCACTTAAACATCAGGGAAAAATTCTAATCATATTAGCCCACTTTATGCCATCCTCAAATCATTTCAATTGAGAATCTAAAGTTAAAAGACCAATAAAAAAAATTATTGTTTAGAAATAAAAACCAACAATCAACCAACAGTATCCTTTTGATTTATGGTTTTTTTATTCTTATATTAGAATCAAGAATGATAACTCTTGTTTGTTCTTTCACCCAAAAAAAAAAGAAGCAAAACCACAATCAATTAAGTATATGATGCTAAACTTAACTGAGTAACCAGCAGAATTCACAATATAAAAAATTGACATATAACTGAAAATATTAGTAATTACTTGTGATCCATCCCAAAGCTGACCCCAGTAAACACTTCCAAACCCTCCCTCTCCAAGTTTGTTGTCATAATTAAAATTGTTTGTTGCTGCGTGGAGTTCCTTCAAGGAAAAGACCCTCCATGTTGGCTGCTTCTTTCCTCGTTCTTTTCTGCACATCAGGTTTCCATCAACTCAATATAATACCAAATTAGGTTTCTTAATGAAATAGTAATTTTCTTCAGAAAACACCCAACTGCTAAAAGCAGACACACAACAGCAGAAACTACAGAAGCAAAAACCAAGAACAACCCGAAACGGATACCAAAGAGGCCATCTAATTTTAAAAAATAAAAATAAAAAGGGGGGTAAATTCTAGTTGATTTCCTTTTCTTGTTTGCTGAAGAAAAACAAATTAAAAAGATAGATTGACTGTTGAATGTTTGTAAGTGGACAAGTCATTAGAAACAGGATAGAACAAAAGAGCAACCATCATCTGTTCATTGATGCCTGTTTGTAATCTGTTTTACTGAGTCATTAAGATTCCAGTCCGATATTAACTCTTTATTCTCTTTTTCCTTCCTTATACTTTGAAACCGACATTTGGATTAATAAATTCCTCTTGCTAACACCCATTTTCCTTCTCTGTTTAATCTGAGGAAAACCCAAGAATGCAAATCCTCTTCTTTTTGTTTCTCTGGTAATCAAAAAATGGTAACACTTCCATTTGCAATTTATTCTTCCTAACACCAATGAGCTCATCCTTCAAATCTGAGCTAAACCCAGAACCTAAGCCCACTTCGACTCTCATTTCATCATCCAAAAAACCACAGCGAAAGATTTCTCCAAATCAGATTCCACTACTACTTAAATAACAAAATTAAATTAAAAAAAGAACAAACCAACCAGCAGAAAATAATCAAAACCAAAATTTTCAAATTCAGCTCGGAAATATACAATGATTAACGTACCGACCAAAGCCCCTTCCACAGCAAAACATTGGACCAAAAGCCATAGCCAAACCCACCAATAAAAATCGCTTCTTTAGTCAATCAGAAAACGACCCACCAAACCAAATCAGCTCCTTGTTCTTCTTCTCCCAATTTTTCAAGCTTCTTTTTTTTTACTCTGAACCTCCCTCTTTAGCTTGTTGCAGAGTGAAGGTGAGAGAAAAGGTAAAGCCGAAGAAGACGAAGAGGATGAGATACCAAGCTTGGAGCTTCGGTCATTTGGTTGGGTTTTGGTGGGCAAAAGCTACAGTCTTTAAGGCGAATGTTGCGCTTTGAGAACCTGAACAACGGACGGGATTTGCAGAGAGCACAAAATAGTTGTTATCAGCCAGAGCCAAAAGTCCACACCCTTCTTCCTTAAGCCTTCTTTTCTGTCTCTGTTTTCAAGTTTCTGGTCCAGCTGTTATACAATTTTGATTTTCAAAGCGCAGACGCATACTCTCAGGGACCCATTTCAATTCTTTAATTATATATCTGTTTTAACAGTTTGTTTATATTATTAATTGTAATTAAATTTATTAACAGTTTTGTTTCACCATTTTCTCAGCTTTACAATTTTATTTTTTATTTGTAAATTAGCTAATATGAAGGAGTACGTAACTATTTTTCAGTAAAAATAATTTTGCTAGTTGAGATAATAAATGAATATTGAAAGAATAAAAACAACGGTGAGAAGCATAGGACAGCTTTCCTAGAATGTCAATAACGCCTCCCTTTTATTCTAGTAACGCACTCATTGTTGAGTTTGATTAACTTATTTTGTGTTAGAAAGAGATAAGAAGGTTTTTTTTTTTCTTTTCACAGTAATCATCCAGATTTATTACAATAATTCCAAAATTGTGTAAATGTATACTCAATCCTCTCATTACTTATTAATGGATTTGTCAACTCGTATTTATCATCTCAATGTTAGAAGATATCAAAGTTCGAATATCATCTGATCTAAGAGTATCCGCAATGGTTGCTCAATAGTTCATTTTAGTTCAGTTCAATAGTTCAATTTATTGAACTTTTTTGGCAGCTATTGAGTTGAACTGCAGTTTCATTTGCAGCGATGCAGTTTAATAGCTTACAAATCCTCTCATAACTTATTAATGGATTTGTCAACTCGTATTTATCATCTCAATGTTAGAAGATATCGAAGTTCGAATATCATCTGATCTAAGAGCATCCGCAATGGTTGCTCAATAATTCATTTCAATTATGTTCAATAGTTCAATTTATTGAACTTTTTTGGCAGCTATTGAGTTGAACTGCAGTTTCATTTGCAGCGATGCAGTTTAATAGCTTACAAATTTAAAACTAATGTTATCCATGTGTCAATAAGAGAGAGAGACTGTAGAGTTATTATGGTGGGATAACTTATTGAAATGAATTTCATTTAAGAGTTCATTTTAAATAGTTCATTTTAGTTCAGTTCAATAGTTCAATTTATTGAACTTTTTTGGCAGCTATTGAGTTGAACTGCAGTTTCATTTGCAGCGATGCAGTTTAATAGCTTACAAATTTAAAACTAATGTTATCCATGTGTCAATAAGAGAGAGAGACTGTAGAGTTATTATGGTGGGATAACTTATTGAAATGAATTTCATTTAAGAGTTCATTTTATTAACCTCTGAAAGGAATTATTGATTCCTAAAATGAAATATTGATCTTTGAAATGAACTGAACTTTACCACTGCAAGTCAAAGTTTAATTTTTTGAAATAAAATTGAAATCACCCTCACCATTGCAGATGGTCTAATGATAAATATTAAAAAAAAATTAATTAGTTTAGGAGATAATATGAAACATACGATATGTTCTCAAATTGAAAATAAATATATTTTATTTATTTATGGTTTCATTCAAGTGAAACTATACATGGATCATCTTAACTTCTGTTTAAAGTGATAACTTCATCATGAAAGAATTAAAATTGGGGCTAAACATTACTGTTCAAACTTCTAAATCATAGTTAAATTTAAGCAATGATTTCATTTGGAACCAAGAAAAGAGTTAAATATGATATTATTGGTATGAGTTTGGCTCTAAACCGTCCACATACTTTGTGGGGCTTCCTTTGATTGCAATGGTGACAAACGCAGAAAAACTTTTCAAAAGATTATGTCCCACAATATTATTATGTTTAGTATATATATAGTAGGTATCATCTGTCGTCTGTGAGTCCATTTATAATTTTCCAATTGATATAGATGACCCTGTTGCCTGTTAGTTCTACACTTTTGAGAGCCATTAGCATAAGTGTGATATTAATTGCTTAATGTATTCATTTTAACAGATTATGACTTCTTAACCAACAATCAAAAGGCTGATTGGGATTAACTCTAGTGGTGAGGAGAATTAAAAAAGGATTATGTTAAACTAAGATGGTAGCTTAGCTGGTTTAGTAAGTGAAATCAACAAAAAGTTGTCCAATATGTTTGGATAACTTCATTTTTACCATCTACGAATAATTTAAGGAAGATTGGCAGTATCTAAAAGATATATAGTTCCGAACACATTGCTAAATAAAAATAGGAACATAGAAGGTATAAACGGTAAAGATATTTCATTTTTCCAATGTGACATTAATATATCCCTTCATGGTAGAGTAACTTTTTTTTTTTTAATACAATCGATCGGTACTCTAAACTATAAGAGGGTTTCTCACATACACATACTACCAATGTATCATGAGAGTTCGAACTTAAGACTAGTTGTGAACCTATTAAGGCACGAGGAGGTGCAGCCTCGTCGGAAAAGCCTTGAGAGGTGCTTTGTATTGTCCCTTCGGTGGTGCACTCCAGGTGTTCAACAAATTGCCTAAACCAAGCTTGTCTTTTTATGCTACGCTTCTGTGCTGTTGCGCACCTCTTTTTTTTTTATTTAAAGAAAACATATTGGCCAAAACGACTTCGTTTTGGACAAGACTTCAAATAAAAAGATTATAAAAGAAAAGAGGAAAGTTGGACTGTGTTTCTTGGGCTTTAATAAGGATTTTAGGGCCTACTTAATAAATAATAAAAGGCTTTTTAAAAATGGGCTTTAACCACCAGAGCTTTTAAGAAGCTTTCTTATTCTTTTCTTTTTTTAACAAGGATTAATAAAGCTTTTAGCATTTCAAAATTGAACATCCGCTAAAAAATTCATGGGTTCGTCAATGCATGAGACCACTGGTCTGCAAGTCAATGCTCTTTTCCATTACGCTAAACCCCATATTAGCTCACGATAAAATAACTTAGGTAAATATATAGGCACCATATATTAAGTGACGTAAAAACATATACAACTTTTAAATCCGAGACAAAAGTTGCATGCTTTACCATAACAGAGTTAGAGTATCAATAAGTTTATTATTAAAAGATTAAGTGTACTGTGTAGCACATCAAATGTGAAAATGTGCCTGTTAGCTGTTTTCATCTTCTTCTTCATTTTTTTTTTTTAAGGCTTTAGAAATATGAAATTCGCACTTTTCTTGTGAGACAATGATTATTGGTTTACACCAATATGGACCATTTCATTTGTGCTAGATGGTTTTTATTTTTATTCTTTTGGTAATTATCTGTGGCAGATGGTTGAAACTTGAAAGCAGTGAGTTTTAACTTTTTAATTGTCCATATTGTTCACTTATTTTAAATTCAATTCCGTTCTTAACTGTTGTTGTTCGGGAAATTACAAAACTACGCAAGAACAAACATCAAATAAGTAATAGAATATGCCAAAGTGGTTGGAATAAGTTGGGTTTCCGCTAAAGATAGTAACAGAACCCAAGATTCTACCAATAAATAATTGATCAACAAAATAAAAATTAACAGAACCCAAGTGATAATAGCTAAAATTATATAAAATATCTTTGAGAGACAGGGACTTTCATGTGGTGGACTCACCAAGTCATGCTTGGCATGCTTGAGGAGAAATTATACAGTCCAACGATAATAATACGCGGCATGCTGATGTGGTATCACGAATTCACAATATTATAGTATCTATCAACGTCGTGTTATGATCAAATAGTGTTTCATTTCATTTTATGCATGAACACAAGTGTAACCTTCTTGTTATGCAAAAATGTATTTTTCTAAGTGGTAAAACCTAATCCTCCTTGAAAGATCCTTATACTCTCATCTTAGTTCTCATTTTAACAACCCAATATATCAATCTCATCTTCACACATATAGATAGGTATTTCTAGTTTGGAGCAACAAACCACAAGATCCAATTTCTTTTTCCTCCCACAATTGTTATTTTTTATCTTTTTAGAAATATTTTTTTATCCATGTACCATAAGAAGAACAAATTGAGATTGCAAGTCATGAAATTATTGTGTAATTATTTTTTAAATTAGACCTACCGATAAAAATGGGCTTTAACCACCAGAGCTTTTAAGAAGCTTTCTTATTCTTTTCTTTTTTTAACAAGGATTAATAAAGCTTTTAGCCTTTCAAAATTGAACATCCGCTAAAAAATTCATGGGTTCGTCAATGCATGAGACCACTGGTCTGCAAGTCAATGCTCTTTTCCATTACGCTAAACCCCATATTAGCTCACGATAAAATAACTTAGGTAAATATGTAGGCACCATGTATTAAGTGACGTAAAAACATATACAACTTTTAAATCCGAGACAAAAGTTGCATGCTTTACCATAACAGAGTTAGAGTATCAATAAGTTTATTATTAAAAGATTAAGTGTACTGTGTAGCACATCAAATGTGAAAATGTGCCTGTTAGCTGTTTTCATCTTCTTCTTCATTTTTTTTTTTTCAGGCTTTAGAAATCTGAAATTCGCACTTTTCTTGTGAGACAATGATTATTGGTTTACACCAATATGGACCATTTCATTTGTGCTAGATGGTTTTTATTTTTATTCTTTTGGTAATTATCTGTGGCAGATGGTTGAAACTTGAAAGCAGTGAGTTTTAACTTTTTAATTGTCCATATTGTTCACTTATTTTAAATTCAATTCCGTTCTTAACTGTTGTTGTTCGGGAAATTACAAAACTACGCAAGAACAAACATCAAATAAGTAATAGAATATGCCAAAGTGGTTGGAATAAGTTGGGTTTCCGCTAAAGATAGTAACAGAACCCAAGATTCTACCAATAAATAATTGATCAACAAAATAAAAATTAACAGAACCCAAGTTATAATAGCCAATATTATATAAAATATCTTTGAGAGACAGGAACTTTCATATGGTGGACTCACCAAGTTAGGCTTGGCATGCTTGAGGAGAAATTATTCAGTCTAACGATAATATTACGCAGCATGCTGATGTGGTATCACGAATTTACACATATTATAGTATCTATCAACGTCATGTTATGATCAAATAGTGTTTCATTTCGTTTTATGCATGAACACAAGTGTAACCTTCTTGTTATGCAAAAATGTATTTTTCTAAGTTCTCATTTTCACAACCCAATATATCAATCTCATCTTCACACAT